GCGCCCGGAATTGCGTGAGATAATATGATCTAACTAAAATTTTTTTTTTGTTGCACTACTTATGATCGCCAGTGTATAAGTTGTACTATATGAGTGCTGCAGTAATATTTTATATACTAAGTGCAATTGATCCATCTTTAGTACCGGATATTTTACATTCCCAAGTGCAATTAATCCGTCCTTATTACCCGGGGTACTTTACATTCTAGGCCTCGAAAATCGTGAGGGTATTATAAAAGGGGGTCTTTTAGTCCACGCTGTACGGTAAATTGGATCTTTAGGTGGCTAGTAAATTAAAATCTTATTCATAATTTTCTGAAGGATCATTTTTCTAGTAAAACCTCCAATCGCATTGAGTCACCATTAAACAAAAAAATTACCGTGTAACTGCTAATAACGATTTATGCGCACTATTTCGAGACGACTGACGTGCATTATTTCGAACTCGATGTATGTATGTCATAAATCTGAGCAAGGCGTACATCATATTAGGATGCGAATGACAGAGGTTTAGTCAAATATGATATGCAACTCTTGACATTATGAACGGTTATTTCTGTAATACAGTAATCGTTCAGAAAAAAAAAACAAAAAACTTCATTACCTTGTAAGGTCCACGGGATTGACATATACGTATAACAAAAGAAATCGTAAATAACACAATTCAGTAGGTATTATCAGCGTCTGAAATTCGATTTTTATTTTAGTTGGGATTATATGAACTTGTTGCGCATATAAAGATGTCTATATGCAAAATTCACAAAATTCATTGGCGGCAACTTATAAATTGTCTGCGATCCGCAAGATTCGGTATAGATTATTCATTTAAGTTATTCATAGATTATTCATTTAATAGTTATTCATAGATTATTCATTTAATAGCTATTTTCCAAATTTATTTTTTATTCAGCACGTTTTTTGTTAGCTTCGAGATCGGGTAAAAAGTTATCTTACAAGGTCAGAGAAACATTGATTTCAACGTTAGTTTCAACGCTAGCTCCCAACATTGGTTTCGAAAGTTGGCTTCAGCTGTCACCAAAATGATACGTCACGGGACCAATTAGGGTTGTGTAACAAAATAAAAACAAAAAACGTTAGGGTCCAGGTTAAACTTGAGCTAGGGGATAAGGCACAATACTACGTATAAAATTTCACAAGAAATTTTTTATATTTTTTTCTAGAACACAAGGTGATTGATTTCATTGAAATAATTTTGAGTCATCACGTTTTTTTTAAAAAATTTCTTTTTAACGTTACACAAACGTTACACCTGATCCCGCAATATGATTGGTCCCGTAATAATGTTACCGTATCACAGTCAGTGACAAATAGATTCACCAAAAAAAATCCGGTAATTAAAAAACTTAGTTAAAATAATTTACATGAAAACAACCAATCAAAATGTTAAGCGGAAGGTCGGCCTACGGAGCTAGATCGGCAGTGATCTGCAACTCCGGGTTTTTCTTGACATAAGGGTACCCCAACCCAATCAGCCTTTGGCAAATTATATGCGTACAGCCTAAAAGACAAAATCCACATGAAACCATTGAAAATAAAATATAATTTTGAAATGACACCAAAAAAAGCGGGTCACTCATTTACCTCGTTCTCCTCATCATCAATAGCTTCTTTATCCACCCTGACGTACCAACTTGGCACCCATCCACGCTCATTATTTATTTCACAATACAACCAATAGTCTTGTCTTTTGTAAATACGAAGCAAATCGTCCTTTTTCACACTAAGTTCATCGTCTGTATTTCTCTTGTAATCAATTAATGCTACTCCCCTGCCAACATATGGACTATCACTATCCATCATATCACCTCCATTAACGCTGGTTTCAAGCAAGAAATTTGCAGGTACCCAGCCAGTCTGTCCATCTCTCTCCACAAAACACCATCCCCCTGATCTGCTTCTAATTTTAAAAATATCACCAACAACTACATTAAGCTCATCATCAAGTTCTGGAACATAAGGGTATATTGCAACGGCTGTTCCATTGCCTTCTATTAATGTTTCTTCTGATGCTCGCTCTTCCGTCGATTCATAATCAGGTGGTGGTTCTTGGTTGGTATCTGGATATTCATTAGGTGCTGGTGGCAATTCTTTGTTCAAGAACTGTGTTGTACGTCGTTTCTTATTTGCTTTCAATAAACTAATGATTTCTTCCGCTGTCGCAATAGGTGATTTAATCTCTTTAATATTCTTTAACATAAATACTGGGTTCTGTGATGCTTCCTTTAATTTTTGGAACAATAATAAAGGTTTTTCATCATAGCTCAAACAACGTTCCGTTAAATGGTCTAGTGCCAAAAAAGAGATGTCATTGTTATTATTAAATGTTATATTTGAATTAATTATAAAATATAATTTCACTTTTATTACCTGGACTGCCGAAACGAATTCCAGTGGTTTTATGATATGGACCATATTACAGTAAATATCGCTCCAGAAAGAGATGGTTTTCTATTTAAA